TTCTGTTTGCCCGCAGCATGTCGGTACATCTTCAGGTAACCATTTGCCTTATAGCTATCTTCCATTGTTAGGACAATTATTGATTGACTAAAACATGTTGTTATCTGTCCTTCATATTAGGTAGTATTACCTTGTAAGGTAGATGCTTGGCTGGTATAAATTGTCACAGCTTTGTCTGGAGCTGTGACAATTTACACCAGCTGAGAATTTGCTCCCTGTGTCCTATGGCACTTTATTACGGACCCATCGCTGATGGGTTAAATCTTAATTACTTGCGTAATGTCATATATAAATATATATATATATATATATTTACAGGCATTCTATGGGGTACTGCTGCCTATGGATAAAGATTTGTACCCTAACCAGATCATTCTAATTTTTTCATGAGCTGTATGTGGAAAAGATATATTATGTTACAAAGGATGCATCATATATATCTCATGTAGTGCATATTATAATGCTGTATGTTATTAATTTCAGAAGTCATTATTCTTGAGGCCCTACCTCAGATTTTGTATTTATGTGTACAAATGCAATTTATTGTATTATATATTTGCCTAATATATTTGGATGTGATAAATTAAAACTATTCAACGATGTACGGGCTCTAAAGACTCCAAATAAACGTCCAGTGTTTAAAACAGAAAATACATCCACTTTTCTGGTGAGTGAAATGCCTCCTTTTCCATCACCTCCTTCCCCACCCAACACACGCTACAAACATCATTCTTACTTAACACACAGCCTTAAGGTATCCGCAGAATTGATCCATCTGATTGTTGGAAACATCGAGCAGCAACTGGAAACAGCCCTCGTGGGAAATGGGGATGTTGCACAGCTGCAGAAACAAGTATCATTTAAATGGCTGGATTCTTAACTATTGAGTGCCCTGTAGCTTGTGGAACGATGGATTGTTTAGCAGAGGACCGACTGGGTTTGCTTAAATCTTTCTTGAATCCCACGAATCCGATCATCCCACAGGTTGTAAAACTGTTGAAAACAATAGAGGTTCGTATCTGCCGGGGATGCAAATGGGAGGTTTAAGGGAGGAGCCAGTGAAGAAGGAAAGTGTAAGGACACAGTTCCAGTGGAATTCCTGCGGTGTGGTGAGGGCAATGTGCCACAACACTGGTCTGGTAAGCAGGTGCTTCCCTCCCCAGCAGCCTGCTATGGGAATGGTACTGATGAAACCTGTTTCAGTGATGCAACCTGATTCACTGTTGACAGGCATGACCTTTTGAGAAACTACCCCCAAACACAGCAGCTGCAGCACGGTGTCACAGTGTGGCATCAGATGTGGCAGCACAAGACAGTGACCACAGGCAAGGGCTGATCCTGAAGATGGGACTGTTTCACCAGTTCTGGTAAGCCGGTTCTCCTCCAAAAAAAGCACTTTGTTCTGCCTTCAAACTTGCATTTCTCTGAGATGTGTATGTGTGGGTAAAGGGAGTGGCAGGACCCAGTGACTCCAGTCATTCTTTGCATGTTGTATGTACAGTGTAAATTAATCCCCTTTCCAGGAGGAAAAACTGAGGCACGTGGAATTTGCCAAATCCCCAAAGTCAACCCCTGTAAGTCAATGATACAACACATCGATTTTAGGAGTAGGAGACAGTTGTTTGCTGTCACCGTTAAGCACTATGGCATCAAATCTTTAAACTCGTGGGAATGGGTAAAAATCCATGCCTTTTTAACTTGGTTGTATGGATTCACCATGGCCACATTTTAGACCAATGTATGTTGCTTAACACCTGGAAGAAAGGCAGATCTTCTATTGCAGAGCTCACAGGTGTGCTTGAATTTGAAATAATTTTACTCTTCTGGTGCTGAAATTCCTAAGGTCAGAGTATGGGTTGAAGGGCATATCTTACACCAAACAGATTAATCGGTTTTAAAATTTAGCTTAGACTTTTCAGGCCTCAAAAATTTGCTGATCATGTGTTTGGGAATAATAATAATAAAAAAAAGCTGTAGGTGTTGCTCCCTGACTGGGTACAGAAGTAGATAAATGATTTCTCTTTGTAAGGCTTCATTCCAGTGCATTTGTTAGTCATTTACATAATTATAAACCCCAACATGGATACTTTCAGCCTGCTGAATTTATTATATAGCCTTTTACAATTATTTATCAGTGTATAAGACAGGTGTGGCACATAGTATCCCCCCATTTTACGCCTACTCTTTTTCATAATATTCAGGTGTAAGTGCTGCTGTTAACTCTTGCTCTCTACTGGCAGCAAAGCAAACTTGACTCGTGTGGATTTTAAGTATCCCTGTGGAGCCAGGCTTTCCAGGGATGTGAGCCTTCTTCGTGAATGGAGATTTTCTACCCCACGAGCTACGAGGTGATGGGGGTTTGCTTTTCTTTCTTTTTTTTTTCCCTTTTCTTTTCTTTTTTTTTTTCTTTTTTCCAGGTGGAAGCACTGCAGTTTCCCAGCATTTGCAGTTCTGGCAACCGAGCCCACACATACTCAGATACACTTGGAGTAAAATTGCCTTTTAGCTGTGGCACGCAGACAGCCTTACAACTGCCCAGAGAGACACTGGACCTACTCAAAAATCCTTCATCGAACTACAGAGTGTCACAAGCTTTGTGGCTGGCAGGACTAACAGTTTAACACCACACAGTTAGCAACTTCACAGTAATTTAGGTCAAAATCAAGAAGCATTCGATGACCAGCCGAGAGTGCAAGAGCAGTATTTCACAGGAGTGTTATCTGAGCTGAAATCCAGCTCGCTTGCCAGGACTAACGTTTCAGTCCTGCAAAAGTGCCATCAGATTTTTTTATTTTTTTATTTTTTTGTAATTGCTATGAATATTCAGGAACACAGTTTTAATTCTTATCTGAATGCCAGGCTTTTCAGCTATTCATACTTGCAACAAGGTCACATCAGAAGGTCAGATTTTTCTGGTGATAAAGGAAGATGGTTTGTTGCCATTAGAGGAGGTGCAAGAGCAGTGTTGGCTGCAAGAATGGGATTTTTTGGTTTTCCATCCATTTGCCCTGGTCAGTTGAAAATGCTTGTAAGATTACTCATGCTCTCTGAATGTGTGATCCTCTGGGCACTGAGCTGGACTAGAGGAAGAGCCACATCTGTGGGATCAGCTCTTTCCAGAGCGCTTCCTACCAAGCTGCTTGTGTTATTTTCTGCAGTACCTGTGGGCTTTTGAATGCTTCTAGTGAACAGAAGAGTAAATGAGGAATGGTTAGGACATTCTTTATCCATGAGATCGTTCAAGATGTGTTTGAAGCTGTGCTTTAAAGCTGTTAACATAGAGCAAATCTTTGTATGTACACAAAGTAGGTTATTTTTTTTTTTAATAGTGTTTAATACAGATTTAGATAAATCAGGTCTATTTGAGAATCTAGCCATGACCAGTTTAAATTATATATCCATTTTAGACTCCGCACCAAATGGAAAATAGAAAACTTGGCTTGAATTACATTCAGTTTGCTGTGTAGATAGACGGTGGTTTTACTACCAGATAAGCACAAACAGATCTAAGCTAACAGGAATTGGATATACAGACCTGTTTCACAGAAAGAAATCTCTTAAATAAGAGAGTACATGCTATGCAGAACACTGATGTTATCAGGGTGGAATCAGAGAGGTGTGTCTTCACGTGCTGATGTACCATTGCCTCTTTTTCTCGTTGCTATGGTTATGTAGCATATCCACGTACACACACACATACACTTGCATACCTTGCATGTACTTCTCCCCACGACCCGTGGCTAAGAGTGGGGCTGACAACGGGGGGGGGGCATCCTCATCAAAGGCAAGAAGCTAAAAAGTTGTATTTGGAAAAAAAAAAAAAAAAAGAAAGTTGTTTTGATACACTGGAGATAAATTACTGAGGTGCATTTGGAATGGCCACCCCGGAGATTTCCTGGAGTGCATCACCTTGCTTGCAGCCAGGAACAGCTGTTTCCCGAGATCCTACTAATTAAGTAATTAGGCAGCCAAGTCAGAGTCTTTGCTCTTGCCAATGTAAACGTGTGTGAATGCAACTGTCCCCTTAAGATGGGCATGATTTGTATGGTGTCATCCTAACTTTGTCCAAATGCACAGTTTATTATTTCACATTTAAGATGGCTGTGTGGTGCAAAACCAAACCACGATGAGGGAAAGCAATAGGGAAGGACGATCCTCGGGCTTCACAGCTGAAATGACTCGTTTTGAACTGTAGCAAAGCTAGATCAGCTGGAAATCTCATTCTGCTCCTGTGCAGTAGGGTGGGAACGTCATCGGGGCCAATAATCTCTCCTTCAAATTGAAATCAGGTGTTCGACAGGGAAGAGTCACTGCAGAGAACCGAGGCATGCGGTGGTCAGTTTCTTGCCAAGAATCGAGCCAAATTAAAGGGCTGGAGGGAAGAAATGTTTGAAAACGGCTTTTAAAACAGCCGTCAGAGCAGATTCTGATATGGCTCACAAGTACCATTAAATACTTTACTTCCCCTTTACACTTCAGAGGCACGAAAACGCAGTTAGGTACTCGAGTTGAGCAAGGACACGCGAGAAGCCGAAGGAAGGGCGCGGGTTCCCGTATTACATCCCAGAACTTCTTTTTGTTTATTCATACGGCGCATGAATTATTACCACGACTAAATAGTTAATGAGGGTTGATTCTCGCGCCCAGAAGGATGAGGACGGGGCGGCGGGGGGGAAGGTGGGGTGGGGTGGAGGAAAGGCGCTCCCGCAGCATCACCTCGCACCCACCCGGGGGGGTGGAAAGATTCACCCCTCGGGGGAGCAGCGAGCGGTGCAGGGAGGGAAGCAGCCGGGGTGTGCGGGGCTCGGAGCGGGTGTGCGGGGCTCCGGAGCGCGGCCGGGCGGCGGCGCTGGCGAGGCCTGAGGCCCCCGCGCGTCACTGCGGGGGCGGGCGGGAAGCCCCGCTGCGGGGGCGTCGGGGCCGCGCCTGGGCAGCGGGCGGAGCCGCCGCCGCCGCCTTCCCTCCTGCCGCCGGAGCCGCTCCGCGCCTCGCAGGCTGCTGCGCTCGGCTGCGCTGGGCTCGGCTCGGCTCGGTGCGGCCCCGCAGCCGCCGGCAGGAGGGAGAAGGAGGGAAGGGAGCGAGCGAGGCGGGCGCCGCCGCTCCCCGCACCGCGCCCATGGGTCCCCTCCTGCTCCTCTGGGCGTGTGCGGCCGCCGCCGGGGCAGGTGAGGGGCCGCGCCGGGGCTGAGGGTCCTTTGCGGGGCTGGGGTCCGCGCCGCGGGGTGAGGGTGAGGGGTGAGGGCCGGGGGGCCGCCGCCCGGAGCGCGCTGGCAGCGGGAGGAAACTTTGCGGGGAGGCGGCGGGGACCGGGAGCCGCCCCGGCTGCGGCCGCGCATCCCGCGGGGGACCCGCCGGGCGCTGACCCCCGGCGGGGCGGCCGCGGGAAAGTTTTGGCGAGAGCGGCGTGAGGGCTGCGCCCCTCGGAGCAGTGAGGGCGGCGGGCGGAGCGGGGCTCTGTGCGGGAGGCGCTGCCCGCGGTACCCGCGTTACGGGCGGGATGCGGCTGCGAGCGCGTTATTCCAGCCGGGATGCGGCTGCGAGCGCGTTATTCCAGCCGGTGCCGTGCCCGCCCCGTTTTCTCTACAGCGTTGCGCGACCCAAGTACTGCTTCTTGTTCCCTTGCGGAGGCTTTGTTCTCTGTCCCCGGGTACCGCTCCTCCTCGGCTGGAGCTGGTGAGAGGGGGACGTTTCTCCGTGGTGCTTGTAGCTCTATTCTCAGGGAAATTACCTGTCGCAATTGTCAGAAGTGCAAAGGAATTCACGTTTTATAGTTAAATTCTTACAGTAATTATTACCTCATTAAAATCTACAGAGAGATGCTACACAGAAATAGTTGAAAGAAAGCACCACCCGTCCCTTTCGTAGCGGTGTTACCCCTGATAGTGCATGCGGAGATTTTAAATGGTCAGTAGGACCCAAAACTCCACTACTCTGAAAGTTCTTTGTGTGCAACAATTGCCACTGAAGTTGTGAGAGGAGAGAGCAAAATGCCTCTTCTCGAGCCTCCTCCTTACCGTTTGAATGATTGCACATGGGTACGTGGAAATGGCTCGACTGTGTTGAGTGTGCTTTAAGTAAAAGTTTTTCCATCCCCAAATGGCACGTTATACATGTCGAGGAGATTATAAATGTGCTGCATATGTTGCATGGCTGCACATTAGCTAGATGGAGCGTGGCACGATTGCTGGTGCTTGGGTGTAGGTGATAAAGGCACAAGCGGAGAATACAAGCTGTCGGAGCTAGTAAGGCAGAATTAATTTCTTTTAGGGATTTCCTGGTGACATCATTCATAATTATATGGCTTAATCCTCTAATCTACTGTAGTGCCTTCAGTTCACATTGGGCCGAATCCACCGAGTCCTGAGATGATTTTTACTCCCGCCCACCTGACTGAATCATTTGGAGTGTTGCTTGTGTAAGCCACTGATTTAAGGGGAATGGCCCAATTACTTTAAATAGGTATTGAAAGCAACATCAGCCGGAATTGGACCCAGGCATTGCACAGTTCTCCGGTGAGAGCAGACGGCTTGATGCTTAATTTTTACTTCAGAAAGAAACAGTATTTGCAGCTGCTTGTTCCACTGAGGAGAGACAGCATAAAATACTAGATGCAAGTGCGGTTGATATGCCTGTGGTTTCTTTCTGATAGACTGGTGGAGACCACAGGGGAAAAGGAGACTTGGTTGTCATACTGAAGCTGCTGATTTGTTGTTTATTAATTATTAACTAGGCTTTTGAGTGCCTGCTGCAGCTTGAAGAGCCAGCTCAGGAAAATGACTAGGTATTTTAAGCAGTGTAGGATCTTGCTAAATAGTTACTGTGACACTGGAAACAGTCTCTGCTTTTTGAAAGTATTTTAAAAGCTGGAAGGGGGCACACTGAAGCTGTCACACAAGATCCTTCATTGGCATAAATCGAAGCCTGTGCAGCTACAGTGATGTATACTTGTTGAGCCTTGGGTATTCAGGCTGGAATAAACAGTTTTAATAGAGCAGTGGAGCTACTGTGATTTATGGGAGTGCCTATACTTGCTCGATGTGGTTTCTGTCCTCACCCAGTTGATGACTGTGACAGAGCTTTCACTTACTTTAATGGGGTTGAGATTTGTCTTACTGGACATAGGTTGTCCTTTCTGTTGAGCAAGTTTTTAGTACCTGTTCGACCTCACTTCATATAAGTGGGTTATTGCTGATCTGATTTGAATAGATGTTGCCCTTTCAAGTGAGGAACGGGATACTCTGTTCCTCACAGGGACAGCAAACACCGTCTTTCCTGATAGGTGGGTTCACACAATTTACATTGTGCTGCTTTTCTCATGAAAACCTTAGAAGAAATAATAATGCCTTTCTGTTTTTGAAGCTGGTGTTTATTCCAGGAGGTGTTGTTCTTGGTCCGTCAGCGTGTTCAGTGTCAGTTGTGGTTGTTCACTGCCCGAGTGTCTGGGGTGTAAGTCAAAGATAGTACTAGAAGCCTGATGATGTTGCTGGTTATCTGGGAAGTTTTTACTTTTGGAGAAGTTTGCCTGGGTTCTCTGGTATTCTGTAATTCTAATTTTCTGCTTATGAAAGCACTGAGTACGTACGGATGATTCTGCACTCTTGGAGCTTTAGTTCCATCAGACACCTCTAGATCTAATTTTTCCCTGTAGAGTAAGGTTGCTAGAAACCTAGTTTTCAGTATTTTTTACTACTCTGCCCCTTGTGGAGTAGAATCCTCTGCATTAGTACAACACGTTTTTCCAACAAGTTTTAATCCTTGAGGAAAGGAGTTAAGTGCTGTAGTACAGATGATTTATGAGTAGTACACGTAACGTGTTCGTTCTGTACACCTCAGTAATTTCTCAGAGCCTTTCAAAGAATCAAACTAGAGTATTTGCTGCTCAACTGATCCAGAAGTGCAGTCCTGGAATAACAAATCAATCAATTTCGAGCTGAATGTAAGTCCACTCAGTGGAAATCAATCTGGACGTGCTTTACAGGTAATGTCCTTGCTCCATGGAAGTCAGTGGGACTATTACCATTGACTTCAGCTGCGTCAGGGTTTCATTCTTGGAGCCTGTTCCCATTACTAATGACGTTAGTGAAAAATTTCATTAGGAAAGTGTTTGGATTCCACACGAGATATTTGACCTGTGTCTCAGGCACAGGTCTCGTGTCACACTTATTGCTGTGTTGAGGGAGACACTGAGGTCAGGCTGGCCTCTCCCCATCCCTAGAGAAAGGAGATGTGCTTAATGAACTTGGTGTGCTGTAACCAGCAAGTTGGCCTGAGCTTTTCAATGTGGCAATTTCAAACTGCTCGAGTCTGTGTCTTTTCTGTCAATCCCATCAGGTCTCCACTAGATCGATGAGTGCCCATTTTTTTTGGTGGTGGTTTTTTTTTTTTTTTTTTTTTTTTTTCCCCCTGAGCATAAGCATTTTCTAAATTTTGGCTTTAGATTTGTGCTTCTTCACTAGGTGCTTCTGCAGCCCAGAGATGCTGCTGCTGGTTTAGGTGAATGAATGTCTGTTTGTAGGTGGTTCTTGCACACTCTGTAGGCGCCAACTGTGCTGAGGTACAGAGGTGCCCTTCTAAAGCAGCATCAAACAATTTTGTGAGTCACCCCAGGCTCTTAGATTACAGGATGGTGTTCTTTTGCCCTACTACCCTGTTTCCTCCAGGGTCCTTTTGTCCAGTTGGGAAAATGGATTGCATGCAGACCACGAGCTGTGGCCCTGATCAGTTGGTCACAGCAAGGCATGAAATGTGAGAGGAATTCTCAGTCCTTACGTCTCCCTGGAAATAGCGTGGCCAATAGATGAGTGCTGCAAATCCCTCTCATCACTCTGCATAGGTGGTTATGCTTCCCTTTATTTATTGCTCTTTAACCTTATGAAGATCCTGGAGTAATGTATCAGTTTTAGAATGTTTTAACATGTGCGTAGTAAAATCTCTGAAAAAGGAAATAGTTTAATTGAAAGAACTGGAATAGAATATCTTCTCTCTCCTGCAGTGGAGGTACTGTCTAATAAGTAATTACTGTATACAGTGTGAGTGGGAAGGTACTAGAAATGTCTATACTAGATATTCTTCTCCATTCTTTTCATTACCTGATTTGAAATAAAAATTGATCTCTCTGCCTCCAACAGCTGTAGGGTTTGGAATGGATCCTGACTTACAAATTGATATCATCACAGAACTGGATCTTGTGAATACAACCTTTGGGGTAACACAGGTTTCAGGACTACACAATGCCAGCAAAGCATTTTTATTCCAAGGTAAGAGAAACATCCTCAAATCTCTTATCTCTCTTCTATCTGCATGAGCTCATAAAAGCTTTGATGCTTAAGCAAGTCCCTGTAATGGTAGTCTTACTTAACTGTTGCTTTCTTTAATTTTCATTTTTTGGAAATAGTTCTTGTTGCTTTCCTGAAATGCAGATGACATTATTTTGTGTGTGCTGTCAGGTGGTTGAGGTTAGAGATATTTAGGGAAGTATTTCTGGGTAGGTTTTCAGTACTCCCCAATATTTATTTCTGACTAAATATGTGAAAGTGATTCCAAGGGGTGGACTCTTGTGTTTTTGTGTTCGTTCTCTCTGTGTTTATACACATGCAGAGGCACACACAACTAAAACTCTGTAACTATGAGAAAGCATTTAATGTGTTGACACTGATTAGTAACGTAGCAAGTCTTTCACTGGCTTCGTGAAAGCTGCTGAAGTGGGAAAATAGAACAGTATTGTATTTAACTGCCCAAGCTGAGTACCAGGGACAGGATAAGTCACTCTGAATTGTGATTCCTCCTCCCTGCCCTTCGTTCAGTGTTCTAAGATAATTTTGTGAAGGGTTTTAAAATGGTGTTGGGATTTTTGTGTTTTTTTAGTGAGTGAAATTCTGGATGTGGTTTTATGATGTATTTTAAGTAAGGTCTAGGTTAAGAGACAATATGTCCTGTTGGGTGGAAGCACTGAGTTGCTACAATATGCTTATTAGGCGAGAAAGACATTTATGTAATTTGAGATTAACATGTGAATTAAAGCACAATTGGGAACGTTTTTATTGTGGAGACTTCCTCTGTTTGTTTTTTCTTTACTGTGCTTTACTCAGTGTTGAATTGTGCATATTAGTGCCTCACTTTTTCATGTCTGTCCTCTGTAGCTGTTTTTGGAAGGCAAATGATTATGATCTCATTTAGCTTTAGTTCTGGATTTGCAGTGCTTACTGACTTTGTTGTAAATAATAAAGGAGGTGAGTCTGTAATCTTAGTTCATTCTTTGTCTGGCCAAGGCTAGTTTAGGAGTCAGAGCAGATGTAGAGGGTTGACCTTGGCTGGATGCCAGGCACCCACCAAATGTGCTCTATCACTCCCCTCTGCAACTGGAGACGGGAGAGAAAATATGGCAAAAGGTTCATCAGTTGAGATAAGGGCAGGGAGAGATCACTCAGTGATCACTGTCATGGGCAAAACAGGCTCAACCTGGGGATATTAATTGAAGTTATTACTAACAGAATCAAAGCAGGACAATGAGAAGTAAAAACAGACCTTAAAAATGCCTTCCCCCTACCCCTCCCTCCTTCCCGACTTCACCTCCCCACCCCAGTGGTGCAGGGAAACAGGGAATGGGGGTTATGGTCAGTTCATCACAGGTTGTTTGTGCTGCTGCTCAGGGAGAGGAGAGTCCTTCCTCTGCTCTCTGTGGGGTCCATCCCATGGGAGACCGTTCTCCGCGAACCTCTCCAGAGTGAGTCCACCCCACAGGCAACAGTTCTCCCCAAACTGCTGTAATGTGGGTCACTCTCCCAGGGGGACAGTCCTTCAGTCACAGGCTGCTCCAGCGTGGGTCCCCCCACGGGGCCACAAGTCCTACCTGGAAACCTGCTCCAGTGTGGACTCCTCTCTCCATGGATCCACAGGTCCCTGCCAGGACCCTGCTCCAGCACAGGCTTCCCACAGGTTCACAGCTGCATCCAGCTGCTCTGGTGTGGGGCTCCTCCAGGGGCTGCAGGAGGTCTCAGCTCTGGTGCCTGGAGCACCTCCTGTCCCTCCTTCCCCACTGACCGTGGTGCCACTGCTGGTGGTCAGGGCTGTAGGCAAAAGAAGTCCGAGATGTCTGTCAGGGCATGGATTGAGACCATTGATGCTGCAAGTAGCTTTGAAAGGTTAATGGTGAAGATGTTATGGATATTCTATTCCTTTCTCCTTGGAGAAATATGCCTGTAGTTTACGAACTTAGTCAGGACTAATAAGATAAAAAAGGTAGAATGTATAAAATTCATATGAACTGAAGGATAGATGCTTATGGGAAGCAAGAAACAAAAATGCACTGTATGAAGTGAATAAACAATTTGAACGCTGTAGTTAGGTACATAAAGCTTTTTTTTTTTTTTTAATTCCCACAACAGAAATTCTTTTTGCTAACGCACACAGGAATAGCCCTGTGCTTGGATATCACCTCTAGTGTGAAACTTCCTGGAAGGTGGCTCGGGAAGATTGCTTTCTTCAGTTAAGCTCATCAGCCCTTGGGTCAGGAGAAGACTGTCAGATGGGATGGAAGTCTGAGGCTGCCCTGTTGTCTGCTTCCCTTCTTGTTCATATCTCTTATTTGTTAAATGTCAACAGCTGAATGAATTCCCTTTTTCTAACAGAGGTGACTTACTTTACAGCTACAGTCTGGCTGTGTGCCAGGTCCCTTGGCTGGAACCAGGACATACTTAATTTTGATTTTTTTTTTTTCTTTTATCTTGCCATGCAGTAAAACCAATATAGAATTTGGGGCAGTGTGTGGACAACTGCTGCGTCTAAGTTAGAAGTAATACTTTCTCCCTCGGAGATTCACAAGAAAAACTTGGCCAACATGACACTCCCAGAGCAAAGACTGAAAGTTAGTGGTTAGTTTCGAAATTACTGCATCCTTCTGGACTAGCTATCCCAGCCTCCAAATTGTGGTCCTTTCAGCCCAGCTTTGCTTTGCTCAGTCCTTCCCCATGTGTGAGTAGTCAGGGTGTGCTGTGCCCTGCTGCATCCCACTGCTCCAGGGTTGCCTTGGAGGCTCTGGCAGGATGTTTGCTGAACGTGGAGCCTCATTAGAAGACCTCTTTCCAGGCTTTCACCGCCAAGGATTCCCTAGTTTAGCACATAAGAGCAGTTTTTATGTTCTTTGGCGTGTGGGTTTTTTTTTTCATAGGGATAGTTTTGCCTGCTGCCTTTGACAGCGACATATCGGGGCTCGGGGCTTCCACAAAGGTTCCCTGTGGATCATTTGCTGTCTTGTAAGATGTAGTTTCTAAAATGGCTGTAAGGGAGCTGTTCAAACTGAGAGTGTTCTTTTGTGTGTCCCAGCAAGTTTACATTTTTTTAAGGTAGAGGAATGGTAATTTTTCCCCAGCCTGAACAATTGTGTGTCCAAGGGTAGTGAAAATATGGCTTGTTCTCCCAAGCAAGATTCTTTTTCTGTCGATTAAACTCTTTGAAACAGAAAGCTTTATAAGTTTTGACCATTTTTTTTTCTGTTACATTGAGGCAAAAAGAGGAATTGGAGAAGTGTAGTGATATGAAGACAGGCACAAGAGAAAGGGAAACTGTTATTTTTAATTACATTTTTGATCAGTGGTGTTAGCTCTCTTACAGTAAGCAGCACACTGTTTGTTACAGAGTTTCTGGGGAGTGATGTCATGATTTAATTTATCCTAGAGAAAATGTAGAAAGATTCTTTTCCCCGGAGAGTTTGTGATTTCAGTCCGACACAATCTCAGTGAAGCTGGTGGAGTATTCTGATTTTTTTAATAATGTTGGTAGTAGCAACCAAAGCTCAGATTTCTGTGAGCAGCAGCTTTACAAGCAAAAAAACGCATTCAATTCTGTTGCAAATTATGTGACAGCGTGGTAGAAACAAACTGGCAATTGAGAGATGCAGGTTGCCTTTGGGCAAGCAAATCTGTTCCTAATTCAGAAAAGCACAGAGATCTATAATTAAGTGTAGTCAGCTGAGTGGTCCTGTTGGGCGTGGACTTCGATTATTAGAGTATTTCAGCCGGATTTTTGATCGATCAGTTCCATTGTTTGTATGTTTCAGTTTCATCCTCTGTGAAATGGAGATGAGAAAATCAAAAACACGGTGTTAAGTATTGACAGTGTGAATTAGAAGAAATGTAGATCTCTAACTCATAATTGCAATTCTGCAAACAGTCTGATTCTTCAAATTGTGGGATCCTTATAATTTTATTAATTTGTCAACACCAGAGCAGGGGGGGAAAAATGTCTTTGTGGGCAGATGGGTTGTTCTGGCACGAAGGGAGGAAGGAGGGTGAGTGGAGGTTCTTGGCTAGAGTGCTGTTGGGAAATAAGGCACCCAAGATCCTGGTGTCTGACCCACATCTCCTCACCTCCAACCAGGAGTCCAAAGAATTGAAGGAAACAGTTCGGGGTGGGGAGGGTGGGGGGAGGGAAATCGACCTCAAAAAAAAAGTATTGAAAATGTTAATTGTTTACCTAATGTGTTACAGTAACATCTTACAGACATTGAACGAAAGACATCTGTAAATATGTCTCACATCTGTAAATTGGTATCTTACAAACATGAAAAAAAAAATGAACAGGATCAGAATCCTAGAACGGCGTAAATTTTAGTACATCAAGAAACAGGGAGCAATGGCTCCCTTGATAGTGCTCTGTTCTGTTCTGTTTCAGATAGCAGGGAAGCAGGGCTTGTTTTGACCCTGACTTGGCAGGATCTTGAGTTCAGTGGTAGGGAAAAATTCTCATGATAAATAAGGCAAGAGGAGGTGCTTAACTGGCCATCCTATTTCTAGGTAGACTGAGCCCAGTGATTAATAACCAGTCTTACTTTTGTTCTATGCTCAGTTCTCATTGGGGAAGTAAAATTTTATTCCTTTTACAACCTGTCAGCTATGCCTCTTTCTTTTTAATTCTTCTCACAACATCTCTTTTGAGCTAACAGAGGCTTGAAGCCTTTACTTATAAAAGAGTTTCCCTCTAGAAGTTTATTAAGACTTTGCTGTTTCCTTTCCTAGTGAGCTGGCAGTATTTTTCAACTTGGCCTTTAAATTAGGAATGGTCTTTTTACTACTTATGCTGTGCTTAGCACTCAGTAAAAGAAACCACCAAGTACTGTTAGAAGTCTAAAGATATATAGTCCTTTCTTCCTTGACCTGCATTAAACAACCAGTGGATTTGTGAGAGGAACACCTGGCCTGGAGCTCCTGCAGCCCAGAGTTCAGCCACGCTCCTTATTCCCGCTTTGTGCGAGTGACTGCCG